TTACCAGAGAGGCAGGTGGTACAGGGAATGTTAGCTATAGAACTGTAGTAAAAAAAAAAAAAGTTCCAGGCAGAATGAGAGGCAGCCCAAAGGCAGATTATCATCCATCAAAGCAACCCTCACACCATGGAGGTCTGACAAATTGGCAAGGAAATTATAATATACGGGCTAAAGAACAGGACGCAGCTTAAAAGAATAACAAAGAAGCCGCTTTAATGAGAGAAGATAAAGTTGGAAGTTTCAATGGAATGGCATGCAGCTGGTTGAAATTGACAGACAAGTCCAAAAGGAATAGTGCAGGCTAGCAAAACAGCTTCCCATGGATCCTGTCTCATTCTCCCTAACTATTTTTCTTCATTATTCACTTCGTTCCTACTTCTCTCAATTATTTTTCTACTAGGTGTTGATATTATTTTCATTAGCTATCTGGTTTTCTATCATTTTATTTTAAAAATCTAATTATTTGTTCTCCTTCAGCTTTTTTCCAGTTGTGGAGCTAACACGTGATCTGCAGGTGCAATTTTGAGGTCAGTCGTAGATACTAACCCAAAGAGAATCACAACTCTCTTAAACAGACCTGACATTACAAAGGGACACTTCTTTGAACAACCCTCTTGGGGATGATGTTCTATCCTAACCTGCTTGTAGTCATATTTGAAATTATGTAAAACATAACATAGTTGTGTTTTTTAAAAAAGAAAAAAGCCTAATGTTTTCCCATCAATTAGGACACATGCCTATAAATTCTGTTCACAGTACTAACAGTGAGTACTAACAGTGAGAAGCAAACAAAGGAGTCTGTAAGCTAATTTTGTAGCTTCACCATATGATCTTGTGCACAGTGGAGAATAACAAGGAATGAGGTGTACTGTTTCAGGAATGAAGGATAATGCATGTATCATTGATGTAGCACTGGGAACCAACCTTAGGCCTGTAAGAGAACAGCAGTCATTTGTATTTTATTTAAAAAACAGAAAACTGTAAGAGACAACTGTTAATTCAGTAACCCTTTTTAAAGTCTGCAGAGGTAGTGCAAATAAGAACAAAGCTGTATCAAAGCAAAACTTATTTACTAATTTACCTTCCAGCTAGCATGCCAGAATATAAACTAGACTGCCAAACAAGCTAGTTGATGAAAAGCATTGCATTTAGCTCCCTTCCTCCAGTTCTTAACAAATGTATATTAACCTAGATTGGATGTGGAGCAGACAGTTTTCTTGTAGCAGCTGAGAGAAAAATGTGTCATGATCCCACATGGTAGGATGTGATTCATTCCATACCATCCTTTCCTGTTACAATCATTACTGCTTGGCTTCAGTTGCTCTGCCATATAGTTGGGTTATCATTCAAGTGGTCAATATTTCAATTTGAAATACTTGAAGGACTGCCTTTTCCCAATCTGGGACCTGTGTTCTGCAAGAGAGGGATGGAAGATACCTTCTTGTGATCTTGCTGATGGGCTTTCTGAGGGAATGTGGGATAGGAATCTTCTTGCTGGCAGCATTTCAGTTACGGAACTCTGGAGATACAGCAATCACCCGACTAATAAAGAGTTTTAGAAAGCAACTTAAAAACACATCCATTCATGTTGGCATTTGAGTGCTATTTAGGAGAACTAGGCTTAGGGTTGCATTTAACTGGACTCTGTTATAGCCTTGAAGATACAGATCATTTCATTCTGCCTAAAGGCAGCTACTGCAGCATTAATATATTTGGGCATTGCTTCTTTTGAACTTATGCCACCAAAGAAGATTGTTACAAGCCAAAATGTGTCTGTCAGCATTAGGATACATTGAACACAACCAGATTATATGGTTAACATATTCTGAATTGTGTAGAGATGTGTTATCTTCACTTGTGTTTGTATAGGCAATATTAATATCTATGCAGTATTTGGTTCATGTACTTTACAACTCCAGAAATGTATTTAAGCTTTGATGTATAATCTATGTTTATGCAAATGTTATACGTTGGATTTATGATATAATTTTAAATGAGACACTTGTTTGTGTTATGTGCATTATGTGTCCTGGTTCTCTGATAATGCCTTTCGCTTGCATGAATGGAACACAAAGAGTGTATTTTAGCCTACTGCAAAAATATAAATGTTACATTCACTGATCTGCCTCTGGAAATCAGTAAACGTGTTAATGAATGAATTGCTGGTTGACTAGCCATCTAATTTCCAAATTCTAGAGGGAAAGGTGTTGACATTTACAAAATGGAAGCCTATGGGATTACTTACATTCCAAGCTGAAAAAACAGCTGGCATAATGTTGAAAGCTAAATAAAACAGTAATATCCCAAGGATACGATTCCCTTTCCCCCCACAATTCACAACTAGTGGGGTTTTATGGGTTGGTGTTTTTGGTTTTTGTTTTAAAGCAGCAGCCTGCAAGAGTAAAATTTTGTCCTTGACTGGTTTTCTCCTGTTTGGCTTTCATTATACCACAGAGAATCAAAGGAGAGAAAAGCTTCCATAAGCTACATAGGGGTTTTGTAAAGAGTTTTCACTTGGCTCTTCTAGTTTAAATCTAGTTCTTTGTAGACTTCAGCAGTCTTTATCTGAAATGGAATTAGCTAATCTAACCAAATCACTAAAATACACATAACAAAAAAATGCAGTGGAGCAGAAGTTATGGGGGGGGGAATTGAAAAAATGGCCAGTAGCACCTTAGAGACCAATTAAGTTTGTTCTGGGTATAAGCTTTTGTGTGCATGCACACTTCTTCAGATACACTGAAACAGAAGTCACTAGACCCTTATATATAGTGGGAGGGTGGGATGGGGTACTTCTCAGAAAGGTAGTAAGAGATGGGTGATTGACTCAATGGGTTATGAGGTTTTGAGTGTAATTCAATCCATAGAATCTGTGGCTAAAGTATATAGCCTTTCACTCTAAAAAAGTTTTCCATTAACCTTTGAAAGCATTTTTCTACTAGCTTTAGGTACTGTTTCATTACAGAAGCCTAGTATCCTTCCTCAGAGAATTATCAAATAGCAAGTGTCTCCTTCCACCTTTCTTTCACACAATCAGGATCTGTTGCCAAGCTAATATATTTCTGATAAAATGCGAAGGTTCAGATTTAGATGCACAAATACATTATCTACTGTTTATTAACAAACTGAGCTGATTTAATTTAATACCAGGATCCCTGCTTCAAGTAAAGCGAATGCAAAAGTGGAACTAAACTGTGTAAAATGGAAAACTATATGGAAGAGGGGACAGAATTATCCCGAAGTGGAAATATCCTAAAGGTTTCCAGCCAGTCAGTCAAGAACAAGAGCATATCACACTTTGTGGAACATTTTGTTGCTGGTCCCATTTGGGCACTGCAAACTAAAATTAGTAGTGGATTTAGATTTTGTCATGGTGAAACCCTTGGCATATTGGAGTAGGGACTTAGTGGAATCTATTAGCCAGCTTCAGTAAATTACCAGACTATGCTGTGTTGTTAATAAGTACACATGTTTCCCTAACAGAGAGATCAATAACTGCAGCTGAAGCCATATTGTTTAGAGCTGCCCTAAGGGACAAAAAGACATGTTTTTGTTTTGCCTTTTTTTTAAAAAAAAAAACAAGTTTGTATTCCCCCCCCCTAATCTATTCCACTCACATTGGCAGTTTCAGCTGTGCCTCATAAAGAGCCTAGAATAAAGCTTGGAGGTTATTTCTACAATCAAGATTCTGGGGCTCAGTTATCAACAATGTTATCCCAAATCCATTATGTTTCAGTAATATTTGACTACTACCTTGGGTAATTGACACTGTGGGTGTCCATGGAACTGTGAATTCAGTGCACCACAGATAACACTCCTGGTGATTATATGACCTTTTCTCACATAAGGAAAATTAAGTAATACAGGAGTCCCAGATACATGCTGAGTATTATTGAACGTCAATAGATGGTATAGCCTTGAAGAGTGCAATATATTTTAAATATATATATTTTTAAAAAGATGTACACCTGAGTCTTTAGGAAATGGCAAGGCAAAGATCTGAAATGAATTCAAGTACATAAGTGCCACATAGACTCAATATTTTCCTGTTTGAATAAGATTCAGTCAGTAGCTGAACAAAGGAGAAGCACTATGCTTCCATAGGCACATGATGCTTGGACCCATTCTGGTTGACAAAGATTATTCCATAATCTGCTATTTATATTCTCCTAAGGTAGCTTGTGAAGCAGTTTACTTATATAGCATGGACTGCAGTTTTGTCAATTGGGTCTGCGGAGAGAAAGAAGGCTATACCTTCTCATATAATAGTATATATGTTGATCTGTGGCTCCAAGCATACTAAGTGATTCAGCATAAATCATATTCTTTTACCAGAATGCATACTTTAACATTTGGGAGGAAATCTCTCTTGTTTTAAGAGCTTACCGTGTTTAAAAGTCTCATGTATGTGTAGGTGTTCAAGGTCTTATTAAATTCAAAAATCAAACCCTATGGTTTTTTTTTTAAATTCATCTATTTCTTATGATGTCAAGGAGGACATATCACAATATATATTTTTATAACATGCTGAACTGTGCATTTCAAAAAGAGAAAGTGGAACACGATTCGCCATTTAGAATTGAGCTTCTAACAAACTCCTTTCAGTCTCTTCCAACATTACAATGATATATTAAAAAAGTGCTGCCCAAGCAGATTTGGAGGCATGAGCAATTTACCTCATTAGAAAATAAGTTCAATCAGTTGGTAATTGGAAGCAAAGTGCCTTGTCTGCCAAACTCTATAGTGAGCTTTCATCATGTTAAACTGCAGGAGGACAATACAAGTAAATGAACGTTCATCTAGGCATTGCCGCAGTAAAAGAAAAAGGCTATTTCAATTTCAAGAAGGCAGGAATTGTGTTATATTGTCCAATGGAGTAAGGGGAAGATGTTTGATGAGATTAACTTGACAAGTACAGCTCAACACAGGCAAAAGGTCACTCTGGGTCACTTGAATATTTCAAGTAAATTTAAAATTGCAGTCTTGTAAATTCAACTTACCTGTTTTCCATCCAGTGTGCAAATTCTCTTGACAACTCCAGAATCTAACTTAATAGCTTCTGTTATATCAGTCAACACCTGGTCAAAGGAATGAGCAGTCTTTTTATTCAGCAAAATCCTCACAGCTTTCCGTGGCTTCACTCCACTCCGTATAACGGTTACCAGCTTGGGTTTAATGAAGTCTTTGCTCTCCTTCAGTTCACTTCTTGCAGATGTCAAAGATGTGAGGGATCGAGATGACACAGATTTTATGTTGACAGACCAATTAGGATTAACGTTCTTAGTGTAATCAACTTTCCGAAATGGCTCATTGGATGCACAGACATAGCTTTCACCTGGTGTAGAAGATGGGAGACAAAACGCAAACATTATTATTTCTTTCATTCCATTTATTTAATCTCCTTTGTATTCACCTGCTACATCCCATCTACCTCATAGGTTTGAGAATGATTTCGATTTAAACCTATCGTTGCACAAAAGTTAAAAAGAAAACACCACCCCATCAACTTAATATCTTTCAGGCATCAGATACTAGAGAATAATTCACCTATTAAAGCTTTTTTCTTTCTTTTTTTAACAAAGATGAATCTGGCTGAAAATTAAGCTCTTATTTCATTCTTTACAGATTGCACTTAATTATTTTAATATTTGCAAATTGCATTCCATCCCTCCATATACAAAACCTTACTTCATAATCATGCTTGGATTGGAGCAGCCCTATGCATTATAGCCACTGAACACATTCAGACCCCTTAGATCAGGGCTTCTCAAATTTCCTATCATGAGAGATTTGAAAGATGCAAGTGCTAGGTAAAATTGTATACAAAGAATTAGGAACAGAACATAGGAAGCTGCCTTATACTCAGACGCTGAGGTCAATATTGTCTACTTTAAATGGCAGTGGTTCTCCAGGGTTTCATGCAGTTCTTTGAAGACACCAGGGATTGTATACCTAGCATCCTTTGTATGTAAGGCAGATCCTCTGTCACTGAGTAGTAGTGCTTGGCCGTAACTACCTGGAACAGAAAGTCCTCCTTATAATCCTTCCTGCCCAGGAAAACAAATCATCACCCTAAGTAGATATTGCTACATGCAGTTCAGTGGCTTATGACAAGGGTCAGCCTCAAACTACCCAGAGGTTTCCAGCTGGAAAGTAGTACTATTAGTGTAGTTTCTGAAATGGAACAGCTAAGAGAGAGGTAGCGTGAAGATACTTAGCAAATCAATCCACACAAACACAAAACTGGAAAGGAATTCGAGTTCAGTGGTGGAGCATCTTGGTTTATTTATTATTATTGTTTTCTATATGCTAGTAGTAACACCTTGAACTTGGCCTGGTTGGCAACCAGTTTGGATCTCTGAACACAGGTATTATATGCTGACAAGGTCTCACTCCTGTAGGGTTCATGCTGCAGCACTCTGCACTCTTCCAGATCAAGTGCGAGGGAAGCCACACACAGAACACATTGGAAATCAAGTCTTGAAGTAACCAATGCATGAACTACTGTAGCAAGGCCTTTCCAGTCCAGGAATGGCTGTAGCTGTTGAACCTGTTGCATTTGGTAAAAAGGTACTTCTAGCCACTGAAGCTATCTGAGCCTCCAGTGACAGAGTTGGATCCAGAAGCATTTCCAAGCTTCAAACCTGCTTCTTCAGGGGGAGTGAAACCCCTTCCAGGGTCGGCAACTGACCAATGTCTTGAACCCGGGAACTACTCACCCATAGTGCCTCCTCCCCCTTGCCAGCATTCAAGCTCATGTTGTTTTTTCCTTATCCATTGTGTCCAGGCAATAGCCCAGGGACTGCACGGCCTCTCCTGATCTAAATGTTATGGAGAAATAGAGCTGAGTGCCATCAACATACTGATGGCACCTCACCCCAAAACTCCTAATGATAATCCCAATGGCTTCCTGTAGGTATTAAATAGCACTGGCAATAAGACAGTCACCTGCGGCACCTCATAACATAGAAAGACAGTCTTCCAATGCTACTTTCTGGATTCGGTTCTGAAGGTAGGATTGGAACCACTGTTATGCAATGCCCCCAATTCCCATTCCTGAGAGCTGGTCCAGGAGGATACCATGGTTGATGGTATCAAATGCCAATGAGAAATCAAGAAGCAGAAGCACTCACCCTGTCCCGCTCTCTGCAGAGGTTATCCATCAGGGTGATCAAGACAGACTTAGTTCCATGGCCATGGCCTGAACCCAGAATGGGATGGATCTAAATAATCTGTGTCTTCCAAAAACACCTACAACTGTCCCACCGTGGCCCTCTCCATCACCTTCCCCAAGAAAGGGGTATTGGCAACTGGCCAAATGCTGTTCTAATTCAAAGGGTCCAAAGCCAGTTTCTCTAGGAGTGGTCACACCACTGCCTCTTTCAATGCAGCACAGACCACCCCCTCGTGTACCATAGCATTAACCACATTCTGGACACAACCATACCCTCTCTGTTTGATAAGCCAGGAGGGACAGGGGTTGAGGGGGCACATAGTCAGGTGCATTGTCACCAGCACCTGATGATGGAGATCGAACCTGCGACATTCTGCATGCAAAGCAGACAAGGTCTGATTTGAGAGATACCTATCTCTCTGACCTGTTTTAATAAAGTTATTTCTTTCTATGCAATGGAAGTACACGGAAAAGTACTTGCGAAAGAAGATAAAAGGATTATGTTGAGCCATTTAAGTTTTTAAGAGTCACTTTCCCACACTGTTTTGAAACTTATAAAAGGGTAGCATATAAAAACACAGATCAGATATAGATAGTAACCTCCTCCTCTGATTGCATCTCATGATTTATTTATTTCAGTCTGTATCTCTTACACTCCCTAAGGTTCATGATGTGCAGCAAGTTTAAAAACAGACTGAAAAGTACTCTTAAGATTTAGAAGTTATAGAGAAGCAGGGCCTGCAGAAATCATCATTTCTAGTACCCATTATAAAATGCAAAATACACAGACTCCAAAGATCATTTTGAGAACATTATCCTCACATTTACCATGTTAGCTTGAATGTGATTAAGTTCCAAGTTGGTCTTGAGTCTAATAGTCATGATGGGAGTTGTGAAAAGACAATGTCTACAAGGTATGAACACATTAGAGCTGCACAGTGTTTCCAAAGCTTAAAACTAGCCCTTAGCTTACACTTAAAGTACCATAATGTAGCAGGGAAATGCAAACCTTTGGAAATTTCAGCTTTTTAATCCTCCACAAGAATACAGTGCAGCATTCTGCATCTTTTAGCAGTCATGTAAGGGTAGTTCCACACACAACACATTCAGTAGCTAAGCCCAGGTGCTACAGAAATATGAATGACAGCTGCCAAGTACACATCCATAAGAACTATTTACCTCTGCATCCCGTGAAAAAGCCCTGTGCAAAAGCCCTGTGCAAACAACTAGTCAAGAAGTGCTTCAAGTCTACCAGCTCAATGTCACTCATACAGCTATCCCAATTCAAGGTCAAAAGTTCTTCCAATTCCATTGTAAATATGCTTACACTATATATTCATTTTTAACCTTTTTGGCAGTAAGCATTGTCAGCTGTCTTTTAGTTCTCATAGTAGTACTTCATTCCTATTTACATACATAAATACATTGCCTCTTTTAGCTGTCTTGCCTTCCAGCTTTTCCGCTTTTGCCAATATCTATGACATCACCGGCTAAACCTGTATGTTCTCAAATACTCGGCCTCCCAAGTATATAAGCCACCAATTTAGTTCCTTGTGAAATCACTGCTTCAAAATATTCTGCAGATATTACCCAGACCCACAGAAAAATGTTTCAAAGAGACGTTTCCACATATAAAGGGGTGGTTCCATTTTATTTGATGCTGTCATGTATCTTATCATCACATGGACTGTCAGGTTTCACGCACATCTTGCCAACAAGCTTTGCAACCCAAAATACAGACATACAGTGGTACCTCGGGTTAAGTACTTAATTCATTCTGGAGGTCTGTTCTTAACCTGAAACTGTTCTTAACCTGAAGCACCACTTTAGCTAATGGGGCCTCCCACTGCCGCTGCACCGCCGGAGCAGGATTTCTGTTCTTATCCTGAAGCAAAGTTCTTAACCCAAGGTACTATTTCTGGGTTAGCGGAGTCTGTAACCTGAAGCGTATGTAACCTGAGGTACCACTGTATATTTTTGTTACCACAGAATAATGTAAACATTGTAAAGATACAATCCTATACTTACTTGGGAGCAAGTCCCATTGAACTTGGTGAGGCTTAAAAAGGTAAGGTAAAAGTACCCCTGCCCGTACGGGCCAGTCTTGACAGACTCTAGGGTTGTGCGCCCATCTCACTCAAGAGGCCGGGGGCCAGCGCTGTCCGGAGACACTTCCGGGTCACGTGGCCAGCGTGACATCGCTGCTCTGGCGAGCCAGAGCCGCACACGGAAACGCCGTTTACCTTCCCGCTAGTAAGCGGTCCCTATTTATCTATTTGCACTTTAACGTGCTTTCGAACTGCTAGGTTGGCAGGCGCTGGGACCGAACAACGGGAGCGCACCCCGCCGCGGGGATTCGAACCGCCGACCTTTCGATCGGCAAGCCCTAGGCGCTGAGGCTTTTACCCACAGCGCCACCCGCGTCCCTGTTTGGTTAGGCTTACCGTACTTCTAAATAAATTTGTACAGGAATGTGCTAGAGAGTATTCTCTTATGTTTGTGTGTGCCTGAATTTAAATTTTCCTTATGCAATCTTTTTAATGTTTTCGTTTAAATCATTGCTCCTTTTTCTTGATTTGCTTTTCTTTTATTCAAAAACCTTTGTTTGACATACAAAGTTTTGCTCAGACCTCTATGGATTGGATCCAGAGTTAGCTATGCTTAAAGCGAAAACCACTGAAAATCAATGCAACTTAAATTACTCATACTTAAATCCCAATGATTTATAGGTCTACTCAAAATGATGATGATGTCTGGATTCAACTCATTATGTTTGACATTACCAAAATAAAAATAATAATAATAATAATAATAATAATAATAATAATAATAATAATAATATAAAATAGTATTTTGCATCGGCCACAAACTCCTGCTTATAAATGCTACCAAACTGAAAGTAAAGAAAAGTGTAAGGTGTAAATGAGAGAGAAGCCCTGCTAGTGAGTCTGGAGACATAATGAAAGTTTAGAAACACATCAGAATGATCCCAAGAGGGAAAAGCAATCAAGGTGACTTGGAGGACTCTTTGGACCATGATATCCATAATCACTGTATTTCCTGTGTATTTCCATTTCAAACAGCTCTGTCATTAGCAGTCCCCAAACATATCCTGAAACTACATAAGAACAGAAATGCCACTACATTGTCAGAAGCAGGGA